AGATCTTGATGAGTCGCATCGCATTAGTCGTCGCTGCTGGCCAGTAAACTCGCAACCCCGTGCACTGCCCTGACAGCCGACCACGCCGTCGCGCTTCTCGCCCTTCTATACAGTCCGGATCACTTTCATAGACTTTCTCGAGACTCTATTATAGATATACTTTTTAGTACTTAAAAAACATCTACAAATTAAATTAATTAACCATAAATTCAATAATATTCCAAAAGTGAATAATCTTTTGCAAAATGTTACCTTCCTGTTTTACTCATATGTAAGCAACGATTATTTTCAGTAATTGTCTCTACCTTTTGATTTAAGCACGAATAACGGGCAAAAATCCTGACAATGTCTCTAAGGGATCCATGAACGTTGCAATAGATTGAGTGTTAAAAGCTTTATCTTCAGAAAACGTGTTTTTTTCCTCAAGAAAATTGTGAGATTCTTCTAGATTATATAAAAAAGGTGTTTAAAGCTCTGTAAAATTTGGATTAAAATTTCTAAAATTGCAAAATTGCTTGAAACTTCAAAATACTTTTGCGTACAGTACATAACGAGCTCTTTCCATGCCCTATTCAACATCTCTTTACTCTCAGACTATAACTTTTCACTCTCACCTAAAAGCTGAATAATTATGCAGTTCATGGGCTTAATTAGTTAACTAACTATGATATGCCTGCATACTTGTTTGTGCTCAAATTTCCTATTATGGCTTACAGTGAGTTAATATATAAGTTCACACATTCCCTTTCAATGGAGTAACTTACCCAATTACAGTGTGTCATATACTTATCCAACTGGATTCCTCTTGGTAGCAAGTGCGTGGGATTACAAGAATGTTTTTCATAACATTCCAACTAATCAAAAGATGAATTTTAATATCAAAATCATCATTGTCTTTTTGTTTGCCCCTTGGCGGAAGCGTTTAAACAAAATAAGTTTTGTTGCGTTCAGCTTATGGGATTATATGCCACTATAAGCGCTCTTTTGGAACTTGTTTATTGTATCATTAATGATTGAGCGGAAAATTGAAAAGTCACTTTACTTTTTTCCGGACTCCGAAGCCCAGCAAAAGGCACATTATCACCACATTACCTTAAAGTGCAATAAACCTGGGCAAACGGTTGACTTAAAGGTTCTAGACGATAATGACAATAACTCTAGAATTCTTTGCATACCTCTTAAGGAACTTGTTTCTATTCCATGAAATCGAAATTTACGACTGAAAACGACGAATTATATGTAAATATATTGCTCAGATTTCCCATTGTCGCAGCAATTACATGGTAGGCCTACGTTTTTTCTCGAGAGGAGACTTCCCAAGCGTTCAACATTCCAAATTATAAGAGAATGTCGACGAATGGAGCTGTTTCTTTCTTGTAAAACACGAAAAATGTGCCATACAAAAGAAGGTCAGACCTCCATTATTTGTGACTGAACATCCTGAAATGTGGAGCTTTATGATGAAAAGAGTTTGATAAACTCATTCAGCGCAACTTAGAATAGTCTTATTTTCCTTCTTCTCCTCCTCACTTGCTCATCACTGATA